ATGATTAATCACATAGCGGCATAAATGTCCCCTTTCTGATTCCAGCCCGGGAACTTTGTTGCATGTCATGTCAGAGATGACTGGTAACAGAGAAAGGTCAAAGCTGATGATGACGATGATTATGATGATGATGGACACTGTAATCTGAATAATCAAGACAGTCAGGATTTAATTATGCCATATGCGCAAGTGGAGCTGGATGAAGTTGATATATTTACTGTTTTATATATTCATTGACAGCCTCCGAAGTGTGCTTTAAAGTTTAAATGTTAGCATTAGTTTCTTCTTTCATTGCTGCCATCCTGAATGTCACTTGCTCCTGATTATTTATCCTTCTTAAATCTGATGTTATAAGAGGCTGCAAGGTTGCTGGTAAAGCTCTCAGTGTTTTGACTCCTTTTTGTCATGCTCAACAAAATATTTGAAAGAGAGTTGAGTCTATGAATTGAACTGATCTGGTTTCAAAGACTGATGGAATAGTGGGCAGGCTCCCATCCTAAGTGGTTACCAGCCCAAGAATAACAATCCATTAGGACAGATTAGCATGGATTGGAAGGTTTAGCTCCTTTATTTCAAATTTAGGATTGTATTGTAAGCCAACATACAGGTATCCAATTTCAGCCTGCCTGCTTTTTTGTTAGAGAGTTTGCCACAACTTTCAAAGTGCCTACCTATATGGAGATCGGGAAGGGGAAAAAAAGTTGGGGATTAGAGGGACTTTTTCCACACCTGTTTGGATGATTACACCTTTACAGTATGATTCATTTGAGTATACAGAGTTTGATGACTTCAGCAAATTTCCAGCAAAGCCAACCCCCAACATCAACCTCAGCCAGATCAACTGAAATGTTTGTCTGTGCAGAGATTTGACGCATTTACTGTACATCTGCAGCATCAAATTATGTGAACTCATGAGTCACATGAGTATGTGTTCAAGAGGATTATCATCAATATTATATTTCCAGATAGACTGATATAGATAAGAATGATATAGACTTCACAAACAATATTATTCGTCTCTATTTTGTGCATGACATTTCGTTTTATCCAGATATCACGACGTTGCTGCTGAGATTGACGAAACAGCGGAACATTTTCAGATCATTAGCTTTGAAGATCACAACAAATGTGCTGCTGGGACTACAGAGAAGATTGCTGGCACTTTGGCCTTGTGGGAACAAAAACACAGAAAGAAAGCGTCAGAAAAAATCCCAAAGGGCCACAGCACCGTTCACGAGTCACTTATAAATCGAAGCATGTGCTTCTTTCTGATAAAAAAAAAAAAACTAATTTCATGCTTTTGGTGCCAGAAATGAAAATAATGCCGACATTCATTCAAATTCAAATAATAATGAAATCGATAAATCGGAACGCTTGGTGATTTTTGGTTAAAGCCTTTGACGCTGTGTTCTGTCCAAACCTGTTTGTATTAAGAGCTTGTCTTCATACGTGAGCTATGTCCCACCAGAAAGTCAAACCTCAATAACAACTACTCGAAACCAGCTTACACTTGATAAAAAAAAAGGTTTACTCAGACCAAGGGAACCGTTTAAATACTTGTATGAACCTCTGAAGATTTTGAAGTTTGGTGGTGTACTGTTTAATTGCCTTTAATTGTTTGATTGCTCTTCATTGCATTGCTTTTTATACTTGTCTTTATATATTTTGTGTGTTCCCTGAGAGGGAGGGATAAAGAGTGGCTAACAAACATCTAAGACTTCAATATCAGAACTAAAGAAGGCTTAAAACTAATAATGTTAAAATTGCTTGGACTAGGTGGTTTTAGTGTGTTTCCAAGTGATTGTTGCTGGGGTATTATAGGTTGTTGCTAGGTGGTTGTGTTTTCAAAAACAATATAGCAACAGATCACTGCCAAATTAATAACATATTTCTCCTCAATGACCTGCACATCAGTGCACTGTATCGTATGTGTTTTAGTGGTGGGAACAGCAGGACAAAAAAACCTAGGAGAAGAAAAAATGTATGAGACAGTGCATTACTGGAATCAGCGTGTTTCCAAAAACATATCTAAATATTAGGACCAAAAGGAATAAAGATAAAACCAAGACAGCTGGAAGGAAAAATCTGCCAGCAGGAAATTGGATGACACAGTGGGGAGAAGGTTCATAGAGAACGTCTACTGCCGCTCACTGTCTTCTTGAAGACAATGGTGTGAAATGTTACAGGTGCTCATTAAAGCCCTTCTTTTTTTCCTGGTAACACAGCCATATAACCAAAGTGTTTGTGTGTTTGCATTGTAACTCTGGTGCATTTTTGAAGTCACTCTATGATAATTACCTAGGTCGATCCTCTGCTTAATTATTAACTGCTGGCACAGTCTTTGATGCATAAAAAAGCATGATTATATGTTTGAGGCTTGATTTAATGCTATGTGTCTTCTGCAGCCTCTAAGCAGCAGCTTCTCTTGCAATCAGCGTACAAAGGGGAATTACATGGAATTTTAACAAACCCAGCCTACAGCATGCTGAGAACTGTCAAGTTTCTTCCCAAAAATGGAACAATATTTTCTGGTAATGATCACTTGAATTTTGCTACAAAATATATAAACAGTGCAACTGAGATTTGTGCAAGAACTGACGTTTACATTATTAGCCTCCACCCTGTGGTCTGATATGTCTTGAATATGATGTCCTGTGTCTTATCAGTTGCAAAATACACATATTTAAACTTGACAGCCTTATCCCAAAACGACAGAAAAACAGATATTTCAGAGACATCTCAGAACAAACGCTAAGTGACTGCTAAATGTCTTGCCGACAGGCTCAACAAGTCTGTCAGCAATAAAAAATTAAATTAAAAAGATAACAATTTGAAATCAGTATGTGTTCATAGCTGTCCCATAAAACTTGATAACAACGAGCTTTGGAGAAAAACATCTGGATGCTCTAATTCCTGTTGTTGCATGGGAGTCATTCTTTCAGCCACATAATTCTCTGTTTGTTGCGCAACTTTGAAAGCTTAACAAAACTGCCTGTTGAAAACTGCCTTTGGGTGGCTGTCCTCAAGTGTGCTGCTAACACATTTTAAACAGTGGATCATTCGCTGCCCTGCCTGCCAAATAACTGACATACTGAGGTCAGCCCAACTTGAACCCCCTGTCCCACCCGATACACAGCCTGCATCACAACAGAACTGCTGTGCTGTATCATGTGGACTCGAGGAGAGAAGAGGAAAACATTGCTGGCAATATGGGCACTAAAAGCCATGTTGTATTTGGGACAGCACAACCACATGTACATCTACTAACATAGCGTATGTCATAGCCTACAAGTACACTGATTATTTGAACGCAGGGATCAAAACGGGCAAATTCAACATGTTTTCTACCGTTTTTTTCGGGTTACAACGTGGGCCTTGTTTCAAAATGAGAAATATTTATCAAATTTATTCCAACTGGAGCATGAGGCAGAGCAGATGGGGTGAATGAAATGAGATTTTGTGGGCTGCATAAACACAGCCCTGGTACTGCTTCAGCTGAGATTGTAAAAACAGGAGAGAGAAGAAAATGTTTCTTAGTATACTGGACTGATAATCTCCTAACAGATATAAATAAATTGATTTGGAAAGCCTCAAAATAAATTAAAAATGAAAGAAATCTAACTAGAAAGCACAACTTTAAACACCATCTCCAGAGAAGAGAGGGGAGGGGTTGGTCAGAATCCAAATTGCACCAAATTGCTTATTTCTCTTATCAGTGAAACACTCGGTATCTAAAATTTCTGATTTTGTTCATAAAGTGTTGAACTGGACTAAGTTCAGAGGCTTAATACAGTAACTGTTAATCCTTTTTTTTCTGTCATGACCATGACTTATATAAGTTGCTGATACTGACATTTGGGCCCTGTGTCACTCTTGCATTCATTCATTAATAGTCTGCTGACTGTTGTATTATGCACATTTTTCCATCAGTGAAATGATGGGTATTGTGTTCATTCATTGTTGCCATATACTGTTATTGCTGTATACAGTCTCTCCATACCAAAGGCTTCGGAAAGACATTTTGCAGACACAACAGAGGACAAATGGAATCATAAATCAGCACAAAATAGCTTCTTGTCTCAACTTTTAAATATGTGAATGTAGCACATTAACTTAACATTGATGCAATAGTGACTGGTGGCAAGAATTAAAGGTCAGATTTTCTTATGAAATTATATACAAAAAAACAACAACAGTAAGCTCCGGGAGTAAATCACTTAAGATGTATGGCAAGTTATTGACAAGCAGTCAGCAGCATATTAAGTAGTCCAGAGTCGGCAACAAAAAATGAAGGAAAATGGTCTGAGGCTATGTAGCATTTGATTTCAAACACCTTAATGAGCTCCATCGAGCTCTACTTTCCCTCCGTAGAGATTTGTATATCAATCTCGACCTTGAAGCACCAGGGCCATGGGTTCTCTTGTTTCTGGACATTCAGCCTCATTTCGGTTGTGACCTTCCTCTGTCCTGCCTGCAGCTGCTTCTGATGCCAGTGAGCAGACAGGATGGACCCCCTGATGGGAACAGTTGCAGCTCTCTGCCAAAGGATCAGCTTACATCCATCAGTGCTGCAAAGATAAGATGTGAAATTAAATATCTGATCTTGATTGTTCGCTTTCGGGAGGCAGGTCACAAATGAAGAAAAAAAAATCATCTCCAGGCATCTTCTTTTTTTTTTTTCAAAGCTTGGCCTGTTAGTGGTTAGGACATCGAACAGGATAGTCTTAAGGCAGGCTGCTACATTTGCAGTGCAGATACAAAAGCATTGGGAAACTGCAGTGGTTCTGTGTAAAATACATCCAGACATCCTGTTCTGTCTCTTTGGTCTCGTCAGAATGAGATGGTGTGGTGGCCAAATACAGCTCAGCTCACACAGCTGTGGAGAAAGATTTGGCCTAAGTTAAACCACAAATCTTTGAGTTGAGGAAATCCCATGAGTTTGCTTAACAAGGTCAGAGTTTATTGTCAATGTGCGGAAGTTAATTGCTTTATTGTTTTTTTTATAATGCAAAATTACACAATTTCAATCATTTCAATCATTTCCAATACTTTAAGGCAACAAATCGTACTGTCATATGCTCAAATGCTTTCCCAGAGTTTTATGAACGATCTGTAATCTGTACCAGATTTCAATGGTAGCTATTTCCTGCAGAGTTGCATATTTATTGTGATTACGTCTTGTAATTGCAGTACTTTGAGAGTATATTTAGTGGTAATTGTTACTGTTATTGTCTCAGCTCCGATCTCTTTTTTCCATTCGCATAAAGGGAGATTACTGTTGAACACATGAAATCACCACCATCCCTACCATGTTGGGAAAAGAGTCTAATAAGATTTAAACTTAACTAATAGCTGTTCAATGTGTAATGAGTCGTTAAAACCCACTGTATACCCACAATGCACAAGGATTAGATTCGGCAAGGAAACAGAAAATAATTTCCTGGTCTCATGCTTCCCTCTTGTGGCCAGTTCAGGCAATTGTTTCACTTCTGATTCCTGAATGAACTAGGGAAAAAGGGGGAAAGTTAGATAGAAAACATGGCTCCTCATAGGAGTTCAATATGCATCCACACTGACTTTCACATTAATTTTCTACAGTGGTGGTAACATAATTTGTAAGCTGTGGCCACTTTAAAAAAGTAAAAATAGAGATTCAGTAAGGTTTGGCAAGTGCCACATACCACATGGGACCCATAGATAGATTATGGGTTTTACTGAATTCCAAAACATGCTGGGCAGAAAATAACTGCATGTTCTGACCTATGTCACTGCACACTAGCTTATCTTACTTCTCTTAGGCTTTTAACTTAGTTCGTCTCATGTCACACCACTAAACTAATTCAAATTCATGCTGTCATCTTCCTACACATACAATTTGTCTACAGTCACAGTCAGACACTGAGGCCATCAATGAAAGAAAACAGTGCAATTTGGTTTCCATAGAATTTGTAAATGTAAAAATGTATCAGACAGGACAGGCTGAGATTTCTTTTATCATTTTCTCAATTAAACTAATCACAGTCAGTTTATTGAGAAGGGAACCTAGAAAGAGCATGGGCAATTGTTTCTCATTAAATTGCAAAGTACTAAGTACATTTACAAATAATATATATCTCAAACACAAAATGTTGGGGTGTGTATAAGCAGAAAATCAATGTGACAGACAGTTCACTAAAATCTGGCTACAAAAAGGTGTGGTAATATGGACATAGTCTGCAGCATTTCCACAAGTACATTGTAATTGTAACAAAGGTCAATGTTAAAGCCTCAACCTCAGTACATATCAAGATACTACAAATTTAAAGCAATATTACAACATAAACTGGGTTTATATTTTTACACCCAGCAATGAAAAACATTCATGGCTTCAAATTTAAGCATTAATATCATTCAAGTCTATTTATGACATTCAAGTGTAAATACAAGTTTGTTGATGGTTGTGTTGCAAATAATCTAAGCGATTACTACAAAACAATAAAATAAACTACCAAAGAAACGTACAAAATTACATAAAACAATTGTTTTATATCATATGAAACAAATATTATTATACATTATATACAGTTTAACACTCCTGCAACATAACAAAAACACATGTTGGTGTGAAGTTCCATCAGTCTATCAATGAGAAATATTAACCAGTACTGCAAATACAGACGATAATGTGACCAGCAAATGACCAATTTCTCTTAAAGTTAACAGTATAGTTCAACATGCACAAAGAGTGCATCACACCAAGGTTTCAGGCAGGGCGTCCGCGTTATCTTTCGACAGTATCTGCCATATATGCCACCTCTCTGTCTGCCAGTCTGGTGCCCCGGGGCCCCTTTCTTGTCCAGGCCCGGCAGCATCTGAAGTATTTACAGTCTGAGGGGCTGGGCTTTGCTGGGACTGCTGTGGGGTTTGGGGGTCAGGCTGATATGTGAAGAGGGAGGGTGTAGAATGAGAAATATGGGTCTCCCTCAGCTGTCCAGAGTACTGAAGGGGAGACAGACTATGCGTCCTGACCTTAAATAATGGACATGCGGGGTGTCCTGTCCTTTCTGCTAAGTTGTCCGAGCTGATGGCTCCCAATTGGCCACTCAGTCCCTGATGTAATGGTGATTGCGGTTGCGTCTGGCCTCTCTGGTCATGAGGACCACTGTTGCTGCGAGTCACTGGGAGGTGTGGCCTGGTTTCCAGCACGCCCAATGAGGTTTGTGTTGGTCTGACGGGAAGCTTGTTGTTACCTTGGTGACTGCTCAGCCCTTCTGATGATCCATACGAGTCACATTCCGACATGTCTCCTAGGGAGCCTGGGAGAAACCATTCATTAACATCCAGCACTATTACATCTCTCAAGACCATCTGCAGCAACATGTACAGAGGGTTATTACCAGTGATGTGATGGCCACTAAAATCCTTGCTGAGCAGTTCATGCCAGGTGTCCCAGAAATGATCAGTTGTGGCCTCTAACAGGAACAAAAGCATAAAGAGGATTACTTCCTTTGGTTGAATTCATCATTTTATCAATAGAAAATAAGTCCCACACAATTTTCACGAAAGCTTCTCGTCCCATACCCTTGGCTAGACAATGGATTCAGGTCTCTTTCATATGTTTTAAAAAGCTTAACCATGATACTAAGGTTTTTCTGACCATATTCTAAGATAAATTACTACTACTGTAGTACAAGTAAAATGTGAAAACCATGTCATTTTAACAAAAATCAACCACAAAGGCACGAGAGCTGCTGTTTTTGGAAGCTTATAATAAGAATTTTATCTTTTATAAAATGATATTATACCCAGCAGTGCACTTTCAAAAGTTTTGCAAGAAATAGTTGAACATTTCGGGAAATTTGCCTATTCGAGATTTAGATGAGAAGATCGATACAACTCTCATGTATGTGCAGTAAATAAGGAGCTACGGCTAGCAGCCAGTTAGCTTAGTTTAGCACAAAGACTGGAAGCCAACTGAAACAGCTAGTAAATGCCTGTGGTGTATGCACATACAAATGTTTATAACACATATGCATTAACATTTTCTTTATGCTACCTTGCTACAGAGTCACGCTAACTGTTTCCTCTTTTTTACTAGTGTTTACGCTAAACTAAGCGAACCACCTGCAACACCAACATACTTACCGTACAGACGAGAGAGTGGTATTAATCTTCTCATCTAAATGTTAGCAAGAAAGTAAATAAGCACATTTCCAAAAATTTCAAACTGTTCCTTTAAACTATACTTCATAAGACAGAAGTATGTACATGTTGCAATGAATTTAGATCACCTTTGTCTGTAGAAAGTGTAGGAGAGGTGCTGCCAGATCCATCTTTAGAACGGCCACTGAGTTTATACTGTCCAGAAAGTCCGGGGATGCTGTCTGAGAGTGGACTGCTGTCCTCTGGGTATTTAAACAGCAGTGGATCTGACAGGACAGGGGAGTTGTTGTCATAGGGAGACAACTCTCCACTAGATGCTTTGATGGAATCATTGGATAAGCACCTCTCAGTCAGAAAGGCCTCCTCTGCTCTCAGAAGGCCTGGCTCTCTGTTGAAATGATAAATTGCAATTAATATATATACGATAAATATCACCAGGGGGTAATCATGAGACAATGTATAATTCATCTGGAGGTTTGGGCAGAAGGACAAAACACACACGCACACTATGAGACAAAAGGAGGAAACTCACGAGTACTGAGAAGCCTTCCTCCTCAGTAAGTAATCCACAACATCAGGATCCGTCTCTAGCAAACTAATCAGCACCTCGTTCTGCAGGTCAGCAGGAACCTGAAAGAATAATAATGATCACACTTGAACTGACAGCATGTTGCTTGTATGCTATAAGGTGAAAATAATTAACAGCAGTTTAGAAAAGCAGAACTAATGATGCAGAACAAATGTCTGATGGGCTTTTTTAATTTCCCCTCTGGCTTCCGTAACAGATAATTTTCAGATACTCAAATTAAGTGCATCTGCACTTAAGTTTCTGGTTAAAAGGAGAAAACATAATATATTACTTTTTCACCCAATCATGTCAATAAGCAAAACAGAGGGTGGGATGACACTTATTAACCTCTGCAGTGAGGCTTATCATTTGTCATGCACTAAAAGGAGTATTCACTAAACTTAATTTCACATGGTTCAGGAGAGAAAAACAAATTGCACGGATTGATTCTACTTTGTTTTATAAGTGACCGTAAAAGCTCAGTTCTTCTCAGTAGCTTCAAAGCTAATGTTTACATTTTATTAGGTGGCTCCGCTCTATTACGCTTAAGAAGTCCCCATAAACACCATAAACACTTTTTTTGCCAAAGGAAAAACTGACTAAGACCTTAAGATTGTTTGATTAAACGCAGTCTTTAACTGTAAATGGCTTTTGGTTGGCAGTAAGGATGGCTTACCATAAAGAGTGTATCATATGTATCGATCATCCTTTGGACCACGCTGATGATGGATGTGCTCTCCTCTGCACGGGCAAAACTTTGGACTGCAAACTCTTTGTCTGAGTTTTTTTGTTTGTGTAAGAGGTTGGGTCCAAAGATGGTAGCTAAATTGGGCGATGTCATCTTGTTTCCTGTGCTCTATACAAAAAGAAGACAGCATATATTCATACTTTCAGTGGATATTTAGTAAGGTGTAGGGTGGGTTTTCAGCTACACATCACAGCAAAACTATCATCTGCAATAACCCATATCAATTACAAGAAATGTTTTCTAGATCAAATTATTTACATAGAAGTTAACAAATTACCCTACATTTTCTTTTCTTTTACCCATGTGCTTACACAAAGGAATGAAAATTCTACACTCATAAAGTAATTATTGTATTTAGAGTCTGTTGCTGTAGGCAGACCCTCCTTGGCACCCAGGAAATGTTGAGAATGTGCACCTAACATAGCCCTGCCACCATCAATAAGGCTGGCCCTCCCTTCTTTTCTTCAAAGAGACCTCTTTTGCTCCGTTACAGTATGTATGCTCTAGGACTGAGGCCAAGAATAAACGTGGGAACCAATTAATCTCCACTGCGACGATCAGTTTTTAAAAAGCACACAATTTGTAAAACGATGATCGTTACAGAAAAAGGGATTTTGGGGCCATGTTCAACGGCAAAATCGCAAAGACTCAAGTTATGTTCACAAGACACTTTGCTGTGTGAGATAATTCATCATTATATTTTATAAACATCATTACAATCACATTACTAATCTCACATCTTTAAACCACATACTCAAATCACAGTGCTGAGGGACACACAGTTGATTGACACTGGCTTCATAGAGTGGGACAAAAATACTGTAGCTTTCAGCACAAATATGTAAATGTTGAGATAAACTGTTCCCCACTATGTCACAAATTGCTCACACTTGTCACTGTTTACAACAAATAGACTGGGGAAATAAATTATGACCAAACTGTATGATGAATGTAGGATCATAGCGTTGGTGTGGTTACTGTGCAGCAGGGTGGTTAGCGTTGGTTGTGCATCATTTAATCAAGATGCCCACAATGGGTCATCGTGCATAATGCGCTGCGCTTTGGCACAGCACTTTCTCCAAATTAGAGGCTGCAGATGTAACAAACATCTGTCTTACTGCCCTCTGAGGGGTGTTTCATCACAATCACATTGAACTTGTAAACAGTTTATTTATGTTATTCAGCATTATTCCGCGATAGTCCCCTAACATATTCCTTTGTACCTGTTGGTGTAATCAAGAAGTGTAAAAAATGTGTGACATACTTCCACAGAGGTTTAATCTCAGGCCACAAAAAACAGGGTGTGTGCGGTTTCTTTACCTCGTGTCCCTGATTGTCCACTCTGTCTTGAGCATGTGCAGCCACTGTGGACAACAAGCAGAGGAGGCGCTGCAGCGTGTCGCTGTTGCAGGGAGGAAGCAAAAATATCAGGAGCTGGATGGCGCTCTCTTGGTCTGAACAATCCAGCACTGCAGAGAAAAAAAGTGAACTCAGTTAAAAACACCTCACAAATGAATGTTTTACCCAAGCATGGTGATTTGTTATTTCTTTGCTTGTGTGTACGTGTGTGTGCTCCTCACACATTGTGTTGATGAAGGCTGTGTAAAGTTCTCTTGTCAGCAGTGGGTCAGGCATGTCTCTGAGGAACTCTTTCAGCAGTGCGGCCACATCATGGACACTGTGCTCCTCATCTAAATGTACCTCCCAACCCTGGTCAAACTCCTCGCGAAGCTGGATGAAATATTGTGACAATTATATAAGCAAGAAATGCTGCTCATAGTTGATGCAGTTCATTAAACGAAGGTGTGTTAAAGCTAACCAGCTGAAAGCGTACCTGTCGTACTCTCTTCTTGGAACTCCCGACACGGAAAATTCCGACCGTCTGCAGGCCTAAGCAAAGATCATGCTCTTTTAGTGCCAACATTGTGGCTAATAATTAGGCTCAAAGACATTCAGATTGCATAAGTGACAAGGTTACACCCAAACTGCATTTGTTACTGAATCAATTATTTCCACAGAGCTATGCTGGACATTTCTATACTGTACACTACATTAATAATGTTTACCGTGTTTTTCCAGGTGCTGGCAGCAGAGATCCACTACCCTGGGCACCTGTCTGTAAATAGGGTTAAGGCTGAGCTTTTTGTCGTGGCGCTTCTTCCTGTTGCCAGCTGCCTCTACTGGCAGAGACAGCTGGAGGGCCTCCAAGAGCCGAGACTGGTTATCATCAAGGTCAGTGATGCAATCCACGGATACTCCGCCCTGTCAAGCAGATGGGTGACAACTGTCCAGTGAGTGCTGTGAGTCATAAAATGTGGCTGCACCACCCACCCACTGCGTGAACATCCAGAAAAAGGTCACAAATTCCCAGAGAAATCTAGTGTGCAAGTGTAATCAGACAGATTACAAAAAGGTTTATTGTCAGAAAGGCCTACCCTCCTGCATGTCCGTGGGGCTGCATCCACTGTGCTGGGCAGAGGTGATTCATTAGGGGTCTCAGAAGTGGAGCTAAGGGATGAGTTGCTGCTGGAGAGCTCCTTGTTGGTCCTTTTAAAACTGGAGGTCAGGTGGAGGAAGGATAGCATCAATTCAGTGGGGTCACTGTGCCCCTCCCGCGGGGGATCGTGTCGCTGCTTGTGTGTGCGGTCGTTGAATATGACCTGCGACAGCGGTATGGCAAAGGCCTGGGGCGTAGTCTCTGTGTGAGAGAAAAAGGCGAGACAGGGAGGCTTAAAGTGCATCTTGTTGGCCCCAAATCAACTTGGAGATGTTGAATCACTCTTATTTTGTATCAGTCATATTATATATTTTACCCTCTGGATCTTGTATTTTAGTAAGTGTAAGTGTCTAAACTGTGTTTGCATTCATTTTTTATATTCTTTTAAATAAATGCTGCTCTAAATAAATATGACAGGAGAAATGCCAAGAACAGTGCTCTGCAGTGCACACTCAATATTCACAGTCAGGGAGCACATAGTTTCTGAAGTGCCTTTGTAAACAAAAGTGGAAAAGAGGAAAGAGGGGGCCGGCCATGCCGGAGGATAGGCTGTAATGAATGAGCTACCACTTAAGATTGTTTTTGTTATTTCCCTCGACTGCCTGTCTGACAGAGAACATCACTTTCCTGCCAGATTGTTACAGCGGGCGCGGCAGTTGAAGATCACAGCTCCCTCAGAGACGTCTTTAGTGCACTGTAGATTCTGATCACTCAGAGCTCCGCTGGTATACACGGCAGAAAATGTCTGCTTCGGTGAGTCTATACAGCTTCACCCAAAAGGATCAAAGAGTATCTTTTCAAGTGTCTGAGGCTGACTAGACTAGAAACTAGAGGGGAATAAATGTCTGTCAGGACTCAGTGGCTCTCCCACAGACCTAAAAAAGAACTCTGTTTATCTTCACTGGGATGGAAAAAATAACAATTTCACTGAGTATGCTAGAAATTCTTATCTTAAGACAATTTGCCAGAGAAGCACTGAGATTCCCCTTACAGTAAGGAGTATGTGCATGGCATCCCACATTACCTTTGTCTCTGCTCTTCTCTTTAGATAATGAATCCAACTTCAGCCTAAGTGACTTTTTGTGCTTGTGGCCATCTGAAAAGAGGCAGAGGTGTTACGGTTAAATCAAAAACAAAAAACACTTGTCAATATGCTCCTGGGCTCTACCACATATGGCATTCTCAAAGTATACAATCGACAACAAGATTACAAAAGACTACAAAATAAATAGAATAAAACTATTAAAGTAAAATGATTTATATTATATATTTTTTGTTTAAAATTGCAATTAAAACAGCCTGTTACAGTATGATTATAGTAGACAATCTCGCACTATGAAATCAATTAAGCAGTTAGGACACTAAAATGAAAAACAATTCTTTACATGTAGAGTTGAGTATGAGTTGAGTTGATATGATGGTATATACAGAGCAGGAGAAGATGTTTTTGTTTGTATGGAAGTTCCAAATGAACAGTTTGGGGCTATTTTAAACCATTTCTTAATTAAATTTAGAGAACAATTACTGTATCGTGATATACACCCTGCCATTATTGTGATACTGTGGGTCTGTATGTGTTCAAAAGACATGCTGTGACAAGCTTTTGCCTGGGACAGAGTAGCAACTTGCTGAATAAGGAAGGGGACTATTTTGTGTGTGTGTGTGTGTGTGTGTGTGTGTGTGTGTGTGTGTGTTTTAATACATTTAGGGATGGTGATGTGGCAGCCCAGGTCGCGATCCCGAAGCAATCGCCTAAAGGCCACGTCCTTCAGACGAACCCTCTCCAACTCTGAGAGGCTTTGCAGGGGGACGGGCTTCAGGCCAACACTACGTCCTGACACGCTGTTCCAGGTGAAGTCACCCTGAGGACACACACACACACACACACACACGTATTCACAAAAGACGTCAGATACATCTATATCTATCATTAGTTGCCGTCACTTTCTAAGTTCATGACCAATCGCAGCCTCTACAGATTCTGAGCATGACTGACACCTTTCCTTCACTTGCCAACTTAAACATTACCATTAATCATTTGCTGTTTTCCATGACAAAGACTGAAAGCTAACACTGTAAAGACAGTTTCCTTTCAGACATGTCTAAATGGTATTATGTGCTTGACGTCAGAATTCAGCACTGGAGTGTACTTTCCATGTAATCTAACACAAATGTGTTTTTCTGATTTTAGTAGCGAGAATTGAGAGTTGTTGACATTAGCAATACTTTCAGTAAGGGATTTTTATTGGGTGCGTTCTCTTACCGGAGAAAGCAGCGAGAGACCTGATTATGTAGATTATCCTATTTTACAAGTAGCAAAAATGTGCTTATAAATAATGCAATCACACATTAACAGAAGCTCTTAACTGTGAAATACCTCATTTTAATTCTATCCCCGCTACACTCAGTAAAGTGCATGCCGCTGCATATAATTTGGGTAAATACTCCACTGATTTTTGAATAAGCTATCGTCAATATAAATAAAAAACTTTCCCTAAACAATACTTCATTAGCAAACAGTGCCAGAGATGACCCATTCTGAAGTTTTAGTACCTTACTAATGACGAGGGAGGCAAATAATCTCTGAAATCCTCAACCTTTGAGCATCTACATGCTGGAGATTACAGTGCTTTGATCCAGTACAGTCAAGCCTATCATATGAGCCATGTTCCAAAGAAGCTTAGTAACTCATTATCAGGATAAGGCTTACGCTAAAGTGGCTCACTCCCATTAAATGAGAATTAGGACTGTGCTACAGTAGCATACTGTTTTCTGGTACACATACAGTATGACAAAGTACAGTATAAATATGGACAGAGGACATGATGTGACTATTTTCTTTGGCCCGCACAAAGGTAGCAGTCACTATCATGTGTCCAGTTTGTCTTTGGGAACCGAGTGGAAAATAATCAGCATTGGATCAGGACCTCATGTCTACTATCAGTGCTGTTAGCAAGTGAATAACGCCTTAACTGCACTAAAACATAATGCGTTAAGCACAAAAAATAAGTTATTGGATTATTGTTTGGATAAAACAAGCAGCACATTACCACATGTAATATTTTACTGAGCACACAATACACAGCATCAGTTATGTTCTTCATTATCGATTGATCTGCCAATTATTTTATTTATTGATAGAATAATCATTCATACAAAATGTCAGAAAAAAAACAAACAATTTCCTAAAGCACCTTAAACCTTTAGATACTTAATTACTCACATAGTGTAAGACAAAAGAAAGCAGGACATTCTAGAATTTTTGCTTAAAAAATGACTTTTACAAACAAAATCCTCTCAGCTGAAGACCTGGAGCCTGTACCACAAAGCGAGATCAGTGGGTTGGTCAGGTAGCTTTGGTTTTTACTTGGGTTTTATATCATAAAGCTGGCTCACTTTTATCACCATGGTAACCTATGCTGCACATCTAACGGCATGTTTAACAGAGAATTAGATCAAAACCCTGTAAACAGAGTGATAAACAGTTTACCACGCTAAATGCATGCAGATTACAGCTGCATTTTAACTGTGCTAAGATTGACACTCTCATTGAACAGTAATTATATGCTAATGAAAACATACTTATGAATATTATGTTCAATTTCTGCCAATAGATCCTCCTCAATGTTTCACACTGGACCTTTACGTTGTACTCACTTCTTGACACAGGCCCCTGGTCTCTCAGTGTTTTTCACCATGTAGTCATTTAAAAACACACTATGGGTTTAAACTGTTTCTTTATGTGTTTTTTTGTTTTGTTTTTGCCTCAGTTACATCATTTAAACGTGGCAAGAGATGGTCGTGACACAGAAGTACAACAGCAAAATACAGTCATGTTTGCTGTAATCTACTTGTTCTGTTCAGACATTCCTCTTGTGTGATTATATGGGAGAGGAAACCTTCTCCCTGTCTGATGTGAGGGTCAGCTAGGTTCCCACAGTTTCTCTCACTGAAGTGACATCCTCAAATCGTAGAAAATGACTAGCAATTCCAAGAATTGTGTGTAGCATTTTGATGCAACACCCTTTTAACAATTCCATAATGGCAGGTTTGAGTGTATCATGTCCAGACATGAAGTGCACACCTGGGTGGAGTATTGCAACTCACTTATCCACTATTTCTTCTTATTAGAATTAGTATTAGATGAATATGTGAATTGAAAAAGCCAACACTTCAATATATATCTATTCTTCTATAATAATTCTAAATAATAATATTTTTTGACTTGTGGGTGAGACTTTCTCGTTGTTTTCAGATGTATCTCAGTGGAAGGATGTCAGATCCTAACAGCTGCTCCCAGTTGTTACAGAAGCAGTCAGTGTCAAAGTTGGATGAAGTTTCTTTTTCTTAGCTGAGCTCATGATTTAAGCAGCCACTGATGAAGCCAGTACTTCTCTTAATCTTAAAATTAAAATACCAGATTTGGCCGCCTGCCTTTCCACGATATTATGAGCCATCTGACTTTACACAAAGAAGCCTAACAGGCTTTGTCTTCTTCTCTCTTTTGACTACATGCTAATAAAAAAAAACAGTTTTGTCTATTTTGTTACAATGATTAAACTATAAAAAGTTCCTTTTTTGTTTTTATTCCCCTATTTTTATACTGTTTATACAACAAAGCCAGGAATGAAGCAAGCATACCTATTGAATTGCATCAACTGATAATTTATTGCAACCCTCTCCTGTTTCAGTGAATACACACAAACAAGCCCTTTCTTTGGCTGTGCACTGCCTAACTTGAATTCAAAGCCTTGCTGAAACGCAAAGCTTTTGTTAAAACTCCCCATGATACAATGAGAGGAAACGTGCAAGGCAGTTCATACAAAATAGCGAGATTGAGAACTCAGATTACACCGATGGACCACACTTGAAATGGATCCAGTGAGGTGATGAATATTCCTCGGTGCTCAGGAAAGCCATTCAATGGGACATTGTGGGAAGAGTTTTCCACTTTATTATTAATAATTTTAGAGGAGCGATATGTTGCATTAGTTGTTTAAAAACTGCAGTTGATCACAGCCATTTTTTATTTTTATTTCTTACAAGTATGCATGCAATGTTGACCAAAACCAAAATAACATTGTGGCATCCTTTAAAACTTGGGAAGGACCAGCACTAACACAAAAAATAAACTATTCATATCCTGTCGTTCTTAAAATAGATAAATGCATGCTGTTTTAAAGGAAGGGTATATATCAGCTGTTTATTTTTCCTTTGCTTTCAAGGTAAAGTCACTATTTACACAAAGTCCTTGGAGGATTGGATTAATAATAAGCTACTAATGTTGACCAAGTGCTGATGACACACACTGTACTTAAGGAGGGGGGACACAGAACAGCTCAGTTAGTGCAATAACGTTAATATCTTTATTCTTCCACAGCTTTTAGGATGTTTTAATCTGGATATTTCTAGATAGCATGGACTTTCTGTCTACCTGTAGTTACTTCCTCCGCTTGTATGAACTATTTGCATACATTAGTTGTTCACACCACTTGCCTAAGTTAACAAGACAAACCAATAACAGCAGCTACTCACGACATAGGGTATGCGTCGCTCGAGGAGGGGGTTTCCCATTATAAAGACTCGGGTCGCCACCGACGAGAAGTCACCCCTCAAACCGACGCCATTTGACTCCGGACGGAACGCCCCACATACATAATACTAGTCCACATGCTCGCAGCTGAAGCCTGGATCCAGGTCTTCGACAACGTGCACTTAAAAGTGCATCAAGTTCAGCGAGTGATTTACATCACGGCGAGAGACGCAGTCCCTATGAATTACAGTGATAAATGGATTGGGAGGGGTCAGTGCTCTCCGAGTCAGGTCAAGTGAAAAGAAGAAACCCATCCGAGGAGGGAAAGAGAAGGAGTCCCCTACCTGTAGGTTAGGTTATACACAGAGGGTTCAGTCACACAAACATCTGTGTATCGCTTGGGAATGGCAGTGTGTTTAATAACTGATATTGTATAGTAATTTTAAAGCATAGCTAAACCAGTTATATTAAAAAACAACAGCATTTTGGGGTAGTTGAGTTGGATGGGCGGATTGCTGTAAATACTACAATACCCATGAGCCTCAGCCAGCGTTGCTCTGGAGATGAAAACAAAAAGGCGCGAATTGACGTACAGCAGTAAAACTAACAGCAACACAAACAAATAAACAAACTCAAATGAAAGGTGAACATATTTAAGATGTTGAATCTATTACTGTTGAGTGTAATTGTTTATCTAGCTAACAACACAACAGAGTTCCTAACTTGTGATTGTGATTATCAAGACAATCAGTTAACTGGCTGTCTTGTTAGTAGACTTATAGTTACACAGGGCAGGTTAATCCTCAGCTATATTGGGTGGTGGCAGGAATATCAGAGACATATCTCAGAACCAGGTAAATTAAAACAACAACGAACTGCATTACTATAAACTAACAGAGGTAAGTGATAAAAATATAATTTTTGGTTTGTGTAATTTGCCTGAACTGGTTCACTAATATAACAGCTGATAGCTATATTGATGTTAAACCTTAAAATATTTTTTACTCAGGCAACTTTTTATGGATGTCCTATGAAGTCTGTATCTGTCTGGTAGATATTATTTAGATTTTTATATATATATATATATCTATATGATTCAGCAGTCTTGGCAGCACAGCTTGTGGAGTTAAAATGACTGAAAACAATTTGTGCTAGACCGCCTGGCTGATATATTGGTATCTATCTGCATATATATATATATATATATACACATACATATATGGGCCTATGAGTAACATGAATTGATAATAAAGAACTGTCAAACATATGTTTGAGTTCATTTTGTAACATTACATAGCCTAGTTAATTCACCAGATTGTAATAATGCACGTCAAAAATGTTTGTATGTATATTAATGTGATATTGACTCACATATGGTTATCATCCATCCAATCCACTCTTAAATGATCCAGTCAAGCTCCAAAAATGTTGTATGTATTAGATTTGATTTGGGTTGAATAGAGGAAATAGGCCTTTTTCAGAGCAGACATTTTGATTTATCATTATAAAAAAAGACACAGGTGTTATTAATAACATTAACAATGTCTCTGTTATATTCAAGTGTCCCAGTAAGTCATGACAGTGTGACAGCATGCACAATGCCAGGACCCTGAAAATGAAGCAGCTAAATGGAATTCAGCCATCATTAATTTTAGTATTCACATCAGTGCTTTTCAAAATGCCTATTGTGCTTTTTGGTCATTTCTAATAGATTTAAAATTAATGGTGGCTTAATTCAATTTAGCTGCTTCAGTTTTACTGTCCTGGCATTGTGCATGTTGTCATGGCTGCATTGACAGATGACAGTAAGTAAGCACAGGCTACCACCCACACAGTCCTGAAAATAAGTCTCATTAAAATGTTGTAAAATCTTTAATAATCAGACAGCAATGACAGCAGTAAGATATGTCACTTGGCAGTCACCCGTTCACATGTTGCCTCCCTCTGAATGATGATGTTGACACTTTAGTAGCCTATATAAAATACCCTTTATCTTCTTCTACTAAATTATGAAATCATGTGTGAGGTGAGACTGAAGACAGCTTAATAGTTCTGGTAGGACATTTCTCTTCTATTCTGTTCTGGCATGGCTTTTGCCTCCTGGAGTGCTGGAATGAGGTTGTTAATGTAATGCGGGGTGATGATAAACAGGAAGCAGCATGTCCGACGGAAACAAACCATTTTGAAGGTGATGCTGGCCGGAGAAATCCTAATTCACTTTGAGAGCTCTTTAGGCTGCGCAGTATCTTCAGTAAAAGTTGAAAACAATGACACTCAACATTTAAGTCTTAAAACAGGTATAGAACTTCACCTATAGCCCAATGTTAGTAATAATAGCTTCATGTCTTGGACATTTAAATACAGATAGCAGATGATCTCTGTGTCCTGCTCTCTGTGACACATTTAAGTCCCAAGTTTTAGGTTATTACATTAGTTTTAATAAATATCAAGAGCAAAATGAGAACCTTGTTGCATAGCAGCCAGCTGGGGCAGGTGCTGCCTGGTTCCTAATATCATATTGTCATATTACCGTATGTCATATTGTGAGCAGAACAGCCTGCAGATGGATTAAATATCCATTCTGTCGACTACAATTATACCAATATCAGTTCTCCACATTTGTTCAGGTACAATGTGAGGGTCCCTTTAACTTATTGCTTCACAAAAGTAGTCAAAACCACAATCAAATTCTACGTGTCTACATTTTTTGGGAAATCAATTATTCCTTTGAAAGATTTCCCTATGGCATATGTAGGCTCACTTGAATTGATTTCAATTGAAAGGTTTAGTGTCTCATGATAAATAGTTTCCAGTACTTTCTGTGGTAGTGAAAGCACAAAGCCTGAGAGCACAGTGACAAAGAGTACATTTTGGTGAGTCACTCCTTTCACCACTGTTGTTGCTTTTTATTAATTGAGAGTGGGATAGTAAAAGAGGCAACGCTGCTACATTTCACTGCAAATCAAAACATTTTCTGAAAAGAAGCTGGATTTTAATTCAAATATATTTCTTGCATTTAACAAAGTTAAAGTTTTTTGAGATTCAAGTGGCTTCATAAGAAAGAGATGTTTTTTTTTCCCCCAGTTTCCTCCAAGCTCTTTCTCCTTCAGGCTGTCTCTCCTCCACGGTGCTCCAAGGAATGCAGATGGCATTCCATCTAAACAGCACAGTACGCTCAAACTTTCTCTGCATCATCCAATTATTCAACCAATGTATCAGATGTGCTTTAGGCATCATGGTTTTTCAGTGTGAAATTTAATATGTAGCCAATATTTCTATTCAGAATTAAGCTGCCAGCTTTGCTTAAAACAGCATTTAAAGCTACATTTCATTAATGAATGAACAAAATCGACAAACCCCTGCATGAGAATAATAATAATTAAAATTGCATTTAAAATATGTGGTCAGAAGCCAGTGCTGCTTTAGCAAACAACACAACTGGACATTGAGGAAACATGCTATGTTGTGTACCATGTTAAAACTGCAGTGCTCATATAAACCGTAACAGGATAGTCGTGTACATTTTATAAAACTTACATGAATGCACTCATCTTTGGACTCTACTGTCTCCCCTTCATCTTAGTGATTAATGTCCTCATTGGCCACTTCAGTACTACAACAGAATGACGAATGGCTCCCTCTAAAGGCTTTGTAAGCTTCTGCAATTTACTAGCTCCCCAAGAGAAACCTGAGCGAATGGAGATATATTTCATAGTTGCATATCTGATCTGGCTGTTTAGAGTGTCTTACAAAGGTATTTCTCTTAAGGCTTATGCATTGTATCAAATAACTGAAGATTACATCAGACACTGCCTGGGGTCATTCCAAAATCTTCCACAGACAAGATTTCATGTGAACACTATTAAAACAGAATGTAGAAAAAGTGAAAGACAATGAATGATTTTTTTTTTTTAGGATTTAACCAAAAGGCAATATTTTTCCAGAAGCTAGTCCAATAACAGCCTCAAATGAAATCAATTTAAATGAATCCTTAAAATGACTGTAACCAATGCTAGGAACTTATGTGGTGGATCAGAGAAGGAACCTACAGTAATTGACTTGCAGTTATATCGTGACAGTTACATTGTGGCAGTCATGCCTACTGTCACGATATATTCAAAGGCATCCAGAACACTTTAAGATCAGTTCTATAGTGCAGTATGCCGTGCAGATGTACATATATCAAACAGACAAAGGGTACTGCAGGTTTCTAGAGAAGTATCTAAAATGACCTTTAATGTACATATATTGTTAATGCTGCTGTAGTCTAAAGCTCGTATGTATGTTTCTGTAATAGACCTTTTTCACAGCAACCATTGTGACATGAAATAGTAGGGTAATCACAGCTGTTACCGATGATACTAATTAAGGTTCTGTTCCTTTAGTCAGGGTTGCTGCTGTAATGCATGTTGGCTCACTGCAAAGGCTCTGCTACACTAAATGGAACAGAACCTTAATTAGTGTCATTGGTGACACCTGTGACCCTACTATTTCATCTCAAAATGGCTACTGTAAAAAAAAGTCTATTGTCCTCTCTTATCCAAAAGAATGCAAAATGATCCAATCTCAAAACTTCACTGTTCTGTCCCCTGTCTCACGATGCATTGTGTCTATTGCATTTTTGGACCTAAAACAATGCTCTCCACTCTCACATACACCACAATGAACATATTTATCTTATTTGGAGGCATGTTGCACTGTCCCTGTGATTAACTGGCGACCTGTCCAGGGTGTACCCCGCCAAACGCCGAGTATCAGCTGGAACCTGCAGCAGCCCCCCTGAATTCCGTTATCCAGTGCAGGTATCTATCTATTGAGGCTGAGGAATACCCTTTGACTTACAAAAGGCTGATCATATATGGCTGTTATGTAACCATACAAAGGTACTTGAAAGTGAGATTTTGATTGATTGTCTTACCACCTATGCTTTCATCTAACTCACTGTTTATGTGTTCTCTTATCAGACACAAACTGAATGCTATGGTGCTGCAGTTTCAAAATCCAGCAGGTTTAGTTCCATGCCATGCAAACGGACGGGCAGTCTCCCGTGGGAAGAAATATGTGCCTGAGGGACTGTAGCCAAGGATCAGGTCATGCTGCTGTACTGTGAGAAATAAAGGTTGAGGCTTTCTTCATGTAAACCAGATGTCTCTGCTTTCCATCTCAGCACAGCCTACCGAGACCCTGAGTGAGTACACCTCTAACAGAGCAGTGATATTCAACCTATGGAAAATGCAAGGTCATTTAAAGCATATATCAAAAATACCATTCTGACTCTATTTCAAACAACGGAAAGGATG